AGTTTCACAGACTGACCAGGAGAGAGTCCATATGTAGCACTGACTACAACAACAACAACTTGGATTTATGTAGCGCCCTCCACGCCAGACGGTGTCTCAGCAGAGACTAGCAGAGAGGGTTTAGTTAAGATTGACCAGTAGAGAGGTTCCTAGTTGGGATTGAGAAATCAAGAATAAGACTAGGATTGAATTTAATAAAAACGTTGCAGTGAAGGTGATAATCTCTCAGGGTAGGTGAAAGGACCATTCACAGCAATAAAGGAACTTAGTACTTTGGTCCCACTGCCTGTGAGCTCTTCCCAAATATTAGTCTGAATGCTGGTTTTCTCAACCCTTGAGTTCCAACTTCCCATTTCTTTTCAAAGAATAAGGAAATGATTTAGAAGATATCTAGTTTGCTGAACACGCAACTACTAGGGGTGGCAGTATCTGAGCCCTGGGACTCAGTTCCTCACATAGGCTGACTGGAAGCTATTCCGAATTAGACACCGGTTTTGAAGAAGGAAGAGTCGGGTAGAAATATGAATTACAGAGGTAAACTCCCCCTCACCACTGCACTGAGGGTATTTTTTTAAAATAACGCACACACCGCATGAACAACCATATCAGTCCTTTGCTGACAAGTTCATTTTCAATCTGACCGGTTTCCTCAAAAGAAATTACTGCCTCAATAACTTCAATGAATATGGTGTCAATCGTGGAGTCAACGTGGACACTGAGCACGAAGTGGGAGGAATATAGAGGTGACCAAAAGATGTTTGTTTTTTAAAAAAAAGTTTTTAATCCTTTTGATCCTTAACGATTCTTACCTTTGATATTTCAAGTCGGGAGGACATCTTCAAGCCCTTTACAAGACATACCGGTATTTGTCTTTTCTAGGCCCATGTGGTAACCAGTTTGCACACAGCAATATCCCACAAATAACCATGAAGAGAATTATCAATTTTATCAGTGGGATTGTTGGCCGGGATAGTAACAAGGTGAAGTGGCTTTAGAAGAGGGTTTCAGAGGATTGGACAATGCTGGCTGCAGACTTGGAATTCAATGGGGGGAGTGAAAGGGGTGAGGAACAAGCAATGGTACATTATTGCACTCATAAAACCCATGTGGTCAGCACCAAACCGTAACTGGATTTGATTCCTAGATACCAGCGGGGCTTTTAATTCTGCTCTGCAACTCTGACTCACAGCAAGCTTGATCTCTGGGGCATTTTGCTTATTAAATCCTCCACGCTCAATTGGCCACAGAAAATATAGAGCGAATTGAGTTTTGTCAAGACATTGGGCCTTTTAATGCTGATTTTTGAGATCAGGCGAGTCGCGGTCACTCTGGGTTCCCGACATGACACTGTGCTATCCCACCAATACCACAGAGTATGTGCCTTTTGCTGCAACATACCAGGAATTCCAAATCGTACACAAACGGGGCACAGAACCATTGCTGTGGTATTGGGATCGGAGGGGTAAGCGAGAGAATTGCTTCGCTTCACAGGAAGTGTAGTGACTGTGTGGCAGCTAATAAACCCTCATCCAACAATGTAGCACTTCCCTGAAACATCACGTTTAAAATTCCCATTGTGGGGCATGAACTCACAACGTTCTGCCTGTTCAGGTGGATGTTAAAGAACCCATGTCCTGGCCAACAATCTCCCACTTACGGCCGTTTGCGGCACATTGCTGGGTGTGCACAAATTGGCTGCAGTATTCACATACAAAATACATAGGCGTTACATTTTACAGTATATCCTGTGAAGTGCTTTAGACAACCTCCTAAGGTAAAAGGTGCTGTATCAAGTAGAAGGATTATTATTGTTGAAACGGGCAATGTGGTTTATTGTTTTATACAGGAATATCTATTTTGACTTGGTTTTCCACTGCAGGCTTTTATGTGTTTTGGTTTTATTTTAGAACTTTTGTTAGCATTATGTTGCCTCTATATTAAGGCGAAACCTTAGGCAAGTTTTTTTTACTCCACACACCTCTGTTTACCGAGCAGTAAGTAGGATCCTGGTTGTTAGTCAACTAATGGATCACCTCCAAAAAAAAATGTGGTCACTCAATCCACGACTGTTTGTGGGTCATTGCTGTGCGCAATTGGTTGCCTCGTTTTACGCACAAAATATACAGTCAATTCACTTTACAATATATTCTGTGAAACGCTTTGAGACGTCTCAAAGATGTGATAAAGCTCTATATCAAATGCAAGGTTATTATTATTGTAATCGGTACTTTGCATCCTCTATCATCAAGTTTTGGGACCGGCGAACCCAAGATTTGTTGCGCAGTCTCTTGTGTTCCCTTTCAAATTGGCAGCTTTGGGCCATTCTGTTCTTTGGTAAGTGCATTCTGAAAATGAACCAGTTTTGAGATTCCACGACGCTTGTCAGAAATTGGGCCTTAAGTTGATTGGAGATTAATTTCAGCTGCTTTCACACTGCACCAGCTTTGGTGTGATTTGCAGGCTCCATGTGAGGGCATATCCTGTTTGCAGCTCATCAGTTCGCAAGACACTTCTGCTAAATGCACCAGTAAGGTCAGTGAAGTGTAGAAATTTAGATTTTATGACTATGATGATCTGAGTATAGCTCAGAATGATATGACTATTGAGCAGCTTTGTGAGGGAAAGTGTGCTGTTTTGGAGCACAGAAAGATACAATGCACTTACACCAGTTCAAGACTACATTAGTTCCAGCTGTAATCCATTGTAAGCTTAGCGCAGAACCCACAGCTCCTGTGTTGAATTTTGGAGTTTATTTAATACAGCAATATCTATTTTGACTGGTTTTCCACAAGAGGCTTTAATGTGTTTTGGATTTATTTTAGAACTCTTGTTAGCATTATGTTGCCTCTATATTCTTAAGTGGCAAGCTAGCTGCCTTTTTGAAGATAATAATAATCCTTACATGTTGTATAATGCCTTTCACATTGGGAGGACGTCTCAAGGCACTTTACAGGATTTACAGTAAAGTGTATGTTTTGTGGGTGAATGCAGAAGCCAGTTTGCACACTGCAATGCTCCACAAGCAGCCATGAAGTGAATGACCAATTTTATCTGTGGGATTGTATGTCAGGACACCAGGAGATACACGCTTCACATTTTGAGTCATGCCATGGGATATTTAACGTCCACCTGAACGGGCAGACAGGGACATCATTTTAACGATTCATCCAAAGGACCCCTCCCTGACAGTGCAGCACACCCTCAACACTGCATTGGAGTGTCAGCCTACCTTGACTATATGAGTTCCAAGCCCTGAAGTGTGAGGCTTGAACTCAAAACCATTTGTCTCAGAGGTGAAAGTGCTACCAACCGAGCCGGGCTGAAACCCAGTTGCAGTTTACAATTGTTGATCTTAGTGCATCTTAAGTAATGCATCTAAATGCCTGACTGCTATAGATTATAATGCAAGTGATATAATCAGTAATAACACAGTACCAACTTGGCAATAGAAGTATGTGAAAATTATGCATTCGACATGCACGCTTTATCCGGTTAAATAATTCAAATTAAAGATTTGATAGTCTTATTTTGGACCGTGAATGAATTAATGAGGTTCTTCACTGCAAATTTAAGCTGTTACAGAGCAAATTAATGTGAAAAATAAAGTTACCCATTGTTCTGATAGTTATTATTCAGACATTTTTTATTCTCTGCTTGCTTATTTCTCTTTTTTCCTCAACCTGTATGCCTTTCTAGTTCAGAATAACTTTCTTCATTCTTTATTTCCACTTGTTGCCTTTACTCTTTCACATCAAAAATCTTCACAGCACCTAGCTATGCTGTGTGAAAATCAGAACAACAGCACATTTATATAAAGCTCTTCATGTTGTAAGGATGAAGGCCCTGGACAGTTGAGGGTTTTTTACCCAAGCTGTGATTTGGAATCAAGAGGGTTGGAGGGCAGTGTGTGCATTTTAACATGCAAAATCCCTATAGCACTTCATACAACTTTCTGATCAGGTTCTTCAATACCAGAACCTCCCAATCCTCCATTGTAACTCTAAAATTAAAATACAATAATTTCCAGCGCCTTTCATGTCAGGAAGACATCGCAAAGTGCTTCACAGTTTTAATCAGGCACCCAAGCTGGGGATGTGAACTGGGGGGAAGGAATGATGACCTAAAGTATGTTTGAAGTGGTACGTTTTGAGAAGGACATTGAAAGAAGGGACCAGATGGAGTTCTAGAGAGAAGGGGCAGAATGGCTGAAAGAAATGGTGGGGGATATGGAAGGAGGTTACCTTGAAATACAAAGATACTGTTGTGTTGGGGGGTGTGTTCAATGTTTGCCCATGACTCAATTGGATAATTGCAATTTGTAATTGTACAGAGTAAGTACTCAGATTTGTATAGCTGGTGATCTTATTAGTTGAGCTTAAACCCTACAAAAGAAATTATCTCTGGAGCCAAAACAAGTTAAAATAAAAGCCGTCTTACTTAGAAAGGAATGGAATCTGAAATTCAACCCTTGGATTTCCGTTTGTGGAGACAAATTCCACTTTGGGATCCAAATCCCTGACTGTCCAGTGCTTTGGGACACCCTCCTGACATGAAATGCTCTACACAAATGTAATTTGTTGTTGTTATTGGATGGTTCATTGTATTTAAAATAAGTGTCAGTCTGGCTCTGTTTGGTAACACTGGAGTCCTGTAGCTCAGTGGTTGAGCACTCGCTTTGCAAGCGAGAGACCTGAGTTCAATTCCAGGCAGGGCGAAACCTTGGGCAAGTTTCCTTACTCCACACGCCTAATAATAATCCCTCCAAAACCAAAAACAATAATAAATTGGTCATTTTCAATCCACGACTGTTTGTGGGACATTGCTGTGCGCAATTGGCTGCCGCGTTCGCCCACAAATATACAGTCAATTCACTTTACAGTGTGTTCTGTGAAGCGCTTTGGGACGTCCTCCCGACGTGAAAAGCGCTATATCAAATGCAAGGATTATTATTATTACTGTCTTTTTTTAAAAAAACTGATTTTTTCGATCATATTTCCCAGTCTTTTACAGATGGAATCACTAACAAGCTCATCGGTTGCTACGTGGATGAGACGATGCAAGACGTTATTCTCGTGAGACTCTACGGGAAAATGACGGAACTGTTTGTAGATCGCGAGAGTGAAGTGAAGAGTTTTCAGATGCTCCACGCTCACAGTCGAGCTCCAGAACTTTACTGCACCTTTCAGAATGGCATGTGCTACGAGTTCATGAAAGGGACTGTCTTAGACAAGTGGCTGCTAAGAGAGCCTTCTACCTTCAGGTAGGGAATCGCTGTATTCTTACCATTTACAGTTTGTGAACCAGTCATCAGGCTCCATTATACAGTAACATGCATTTATATAGCACTCTTCACACTTTACAAGACTTTACAAGGACGAGGTCAGACGGAGTAAGGGGGGTGAGTACATTCTCCCTTGGGGAAGGATCCAATATTTTAAGGTAGATTAGTGCTGCCCTCGCATATCTCCCAGAGAAACGTTATGAGGGAGAAAGGAGCAAAGAAGCCTGGAGGCTCTGCTGGAGTATAAACACAAGCACTGATTAGTTGGGATGTTATACATCAAGATTGGTAAAGGGTAGCATGTCTCCCGACTGTTTGGCAGAATAGCTCCGAGCTGGGAGCCGAAGGGAGTGGGGAGGGGAAAGATGACCAAAAGCACAGTTTTAGAGGTACGTTTTGAAATGTGCCTTGAAACAGGGGAAGGAGTGAGTGAATCGGAGGCACTCTGGGATATAGTTCCAGAGAGCGGGGGCAGAATAGGTGAAAGCTCGCCCAGCCACCAACAGTGGGGTGGATAAGGCTGCAGACGTGAAGCTGAATTGGCTGGGACCTAGCGCATCCAACCCCTTTTAATAAATAATTCATGGATCCTGGCTGCAACCCACATTATATGTAGTGACATATGTAGAGAATGTTCTTGTAGATATTTCCCAACCACTTGCTCCATGGGTTCTGCTCTGTGGAAGGTTTTAGTGTGGAGTTGGAGAATCTACCTTGTAGACAAACTTGGCGAGCTCAGCAAGAGCAAACCCAGCCTTCTCGACTGAATAAAAGAATCTCGTACCTTTTAGCTCAATCTTTGGAATGCAGAGACGATCCTTTTAGGAATAAATTGTGTGAACAATTTCCCTTTAATGGTCCGCACTTGCTGAGATTACTGCCATTTCCAGGCACATTGGAGGCAAAATGTCTATTGGCAAATGGCCTTAGTCACCAAATTGCAGAGTAGCTCCCTGGTTTGCATTCATACGAGATATGCAGCGCTTCTGTACAGTATTGCAATAGGATTTTCTGTGGAGTCTCTTTGTACACAGATTTGTCATAACTCACAAAGTATGAAGATTTTTTTGGGGGGGCTGGAGAGGGTGTATTCACCATTTACCTGGGTTTCTTGATTTACTCTATTTCAGAGTGTTCAAAATAAGGCAAATTCATAAATACAGCCTTAATTTTGACACTTTTTTTCTGTAAATTCCGTAAGAAATACAAAACACTGATTTCAAATTTAACACTGAATTCAACAGTTTGCCACATTCTGGCAACTAAAAAATTACATCAATGCAGGAAATCTAGATCCAGGTAAAACGTTTCCTCCTATATATTGTCAGGTCAATATTGGATTTTCAGAATTTGTGTCCACAACATTTTAACCAGGTGGAAAGACAATAACTGGTGAATAAATAGAAATAAATGTCTTCTTTTTCCTGTCCTTGTTTCTGATATCCATGCTTTATTTTTGAGTGTGCTGAGTAAGAGATTCAAATCGCTAAGGAGGTGCTGATTGGGAATTACATCGGTACAGAGTTCAAATAGGGATGTTTCTCTTTGAAGCTGAGACAGTTGAGAGGAGACCTGACAGAGGTGAGTGAAATTATGACAGGGTCCGATAAGGTGGACGGACGTCCATAGGCTGTATCCACTTGTTGGTGAGTCCAAAACCAGGAGCATAAATATAAGACGGGCATGGAGGATGGTAAGAATGCGGAAATCACTACATAAAGCGGAGAGCATCAAAGTATTTAAGAGAAAACATGATGAATACATGAGGGAGAGGTAAATAGAAAGGATTAGGAGGGATGGAAGGTTGTATGAAGTATTAAAAAATGACAGGAACTAGTTGGACAGAATGATTCTGTGCTGGAACGATCTGTGTGATGGCACAGTGAGTGCATATGGTACTTTTGAAACCTATTTTGTTTTATAATGCAAGTCGAAAGCTAAATGCCAATTCCCATAACTGCAGTATTGCTTACCTCTCAGTGGGCACGTTAAACATTCGCCTATGACCATGATGATGGCATATTGATGTCAGCAACCTCTGTGAAAATTTCTAAGCAGCGTAAAGTGGCTGTAAAATTCACTTTAATTTAATAATTTTAAGCGTGGAAAAGTGCCAGTGGAAATAAAAAATCCTATTTAGAAATAGAAATCCGATTTCCATCACAGAAACACCCTCCAAATAAAACATCAAAAACAGCTCACTTGCTTAGAATTTACAGCAAGGGAATTTACTCGGCTGCATTGTTTCTGCATTGTACACGAACTGCAAGTTTGAGATGTGGTGCTTGCTGTGGGCGAATATGTAATGTGATGAGAGAGACGTGCTTGCAAACCCACTCGTCAGTCATATGTGCTCCAAGGCTTCGAGCCTGAAGTCGTTCCACACTGGAAAGTATGATTTCAGTATTGGATGAGTATACTGGACTTTCTTGTTTGGGTGTTGACCGCAGCCGGCAGCTGACCGCTATGAACCCGCCATGTGTCGCTATCTTGAATCGAAATGAGAACGTTGAGTTTTAGGTTGGCAGAATGTGGCGAAATCAAAACCCTCACTGCAATCATATAGGATCTTATACATCTGCAAGCCCGTTCGTTCAGCTATACTGAGTAAAGTGTGTTCACTGACTGTCTTGTGCACACTGCTTGATATTCCTTGTTATTTACCTTTAGCTTGAATGAAACAACAATTATGAATTTGTCAATGCAAACTATATATGGAGGCCTTACTCTCTCTGCCACTCCGTATAACTGATTGTCAGATAATTTTAAGAGTTACCCTCCGACATTCTGATAGGACCTCCACCCACCGCCTCCCACCCCCTTATTCTCAAATGCCTTGGGATGTCCTCCTGACATGAAAGGTATTAAATAAATGTCAATTTGTATTGTTTCGTGGGATGAATAATTTTGAAATCTTTCTGTAAACTTGTCAAAAGTAATGAACCTATTATTTTCCTGTTATCCACCACTGTCCCTATCTCATAGAACAAACCCAATACTTCGGATTGCATTCCCAGATTGATATCCATCAATGATGTCATGGAATTGGTTAGTCAAGCCTTCTGTGCCCATCTCTTTAAAAATACACTTAGTGTCACTCTCTGGAGCTGAAAACCAAGAGACTGATTCGAACACTTCAGTAAGAATGATTGCATATTTTTAAAGTAATAACTTGGGGTGTTATGCTGAGGTTTTGAAAGTAATGGCACAAATGTCATTGGGTGTGGCAATTTGGTTAGTCAATAAATCTCTTTACTGACCTGGATTTCGGTGCTCATTTTTGGTTAACATCAAACCAAATTTTGCTGGCAGGAAAGAGAAGTTATTCATTCTGCTGCCCACCCCCCCCCCCCCCCCATGGCAGAAAGAGTATTTATTGTACTCTTGCTCTAGAGCATTGAGTTCCCATGTTGTTCCAGTGTATTATTGCACATTGGAAAATATGATTTGATGTTTGGTCACTTTGTGACGAGATCCTACTTCCCGTCAATCCAATTCCTTTGGCCTACCACTGAGAGTGGATTTCCAAAAGACAAACAAAGCCACAGTGTTTCGAAAACCACAGATTGTCATCCTTGTGTTAAATGCCACCCGCTCTCTCTTTATACACATGTCTGGCAATAAAGGATCAAACCACTGTGAATATTTTCACATCTTGCTACAGTGGGACCACTTGCCAAGAAGCATATTTGTGCCAACTTTCCACAAATAACGTCTCAGCCTCTTTTATTTATTTATATATAGATATAGATAATATAGGAAAACAAGTTAAAATACAGAAGTCTGAAATACAACCGCCATTTGGTTTGGAGGTTTTGGACTTTCGGAATGCACAGAACCAGAGGAAATGCCTTTTTTTTTTTGGTTCACGCTCTGAGTTAAAACATAGAAACTCTAAAGTGAAACAAAACCCGTGGGTCCCCCGGAGGGTGTTATAGGGAGAGAGTCACAAGTGAATTCCTAGTTATGTTACTTTGGGAGGTGGGGGGAAAAAATCTATCATGAAGGCAATGGTGAAAGAGTTCCGTACTTGCTATTGTGTGGCAAACACAAATTAGTAAAATCATTTAGAGAAAGTAAACCTGTTAATAAGAGAGTTATTGAAAGGGCTTCCTCTTCGATTATGTCTGGTGACTTCCCCCACCACCCACCCTGGTTCTTTGTCGTGCTCCGCCACTAACTCTGGGACACTACCTGGGGTGAAAGGCGTTATATAAATGCAAGTTGTTGTTGAGGGTAGGATTTTTGTGTGCCAAAGATCCTGTGAGCAGATCAATTTGCCAACACAGCGTCGAAGAACAATGGGAGGAAAAGCACCTGGCTGTTCCAAACAGGTGTGCACGGGAAAGTGCTTTTTGTGCATTTTCCTTCCACAAAAGAGCTATCGCTGCTGATCTATACTGAACCCCACGTAGAGTAGATTGGATAACTTGTTCCACCTCTTACGGTGCCGGTCCTTGTCCTGCGTTGAGCTGAGGCAGAGTTTGTGCGGTTTCTANTTTTTTCTTCAGGTTGTTTTTTGTTTTCTAAAAAAAACTTTCACCTCCTAATTTCGACCACCGAGGCTTTGTTGCCAAAGAGAAATGTTGCCATTTACGAACACTGCCAATTTTAGTCCACGTTGATACACGGCAGCAATATGTAAGCAATCCAGGTTTTGTAAAATGTCAAATGTTTCTTGGCAGATTATGAAAGGCCGTACCCTATTGTCAAATCAGATTATGTTTTGTAAAACGAAGTATTAAAATAGAGCAGTAGCTATCGGGTATCGGGGAGCTCATGTTAATATAGTATCATCGAAACCTTGGCCCGTGGTTTCGCCAGCCTGTTAAGCTGTGTGCCAAGAAGGACTTGGGGAGGGGGAGTGGGCCATGTTTGACCAAATGAGATCAGGCCGCTGTGATTTTGCTGCTTGCCTTCTCTCGCTGCAGACTGAAGGAAAGAGCGAGGTTTGAGCCCGAGTACGCCAATAAACTTTGCACTAGGAACAAGAGTCAGCCATTCACCCCCTCGAGTCTGTTACACCATTCTGTCAGATCATGGCTGATGTGTACCCCACCTGCCTTTGCTCCATATCCCTTGATACACTGATCCAGTAAATATCAGTTGACCTCAGGTTTGAGAATTCCAACTGAGCCAGCATGCGCAACCTTTGGTGGGAGAGAATTCCAGATTTCCACAACCCTATAAAATACTCTGTTCAGGCTGCACTGGGATTTCCAGGCAGTTGATGGAGGCAGCTATACTCTTCATAGTGTTTCAGCTCTCCTGGTCCTGCCAGTGGGAAGAGGTTCACAGTAGGTCTTCTGCTGAGAAGTGAGCTGTGCCATTCAATAGGGTAATACTAGACATAGTATATCTGCCTCCTGTCACCGAGTGCGATGATTATTGAGGCCAAGAATTCCTACCCAATCTGACTTGGTTTGGAATTAGTGTGCAGAAAAATGGGGTGGTGGGGAGTTTTGGTAACGGGGAAAAGATGTTACACTTCACAGTTGGTTTGTGGAGAATACTCTTTGAGCAGGGCACAACATGACTTATTATTACGTCAGATGAGATATTAAACTGAGATATCCTCTCCTCTGCCTGTTCAAGTAGGACTTCAAAATCCCATGGAGATATTCGAAAAGTGCAGAAAGTTTCTTTCTCCTAGTGTCCTGGCCAACAAATAAAATTGGTCACTCACTTCATGGCTGTTTGTAGGATATTGCTGTGGGGTCGCCCACAAAAAACACACTCAACTTTACAGTGTAGCCTGTGAAGTGCTTTGGCACATGGTACTGACGTGAAAGGTACGATACAAAATGTACGAATTATTATGAGGATTGCTCATGAGGGATAAAGGTAGATGTGAGTGTGGTAGATTATCATCGGCAGAGCTGCATATGGCTGCATCTTAAGTTTGATGTTCTGTTTGTGCATTTGTTGAAAATCAAAAAATGTATGCTTCGAAAAGTGCTGACCCTGAAAGTGCTGGGAATGGAAAAAGACCAAGTGACCCGGGGGTTATGAGAGCTCTTGTCCTTCGACTGAGACAGAACAGAACACTTTTAGAGCATTTTATTCCAAAGAAAAGTTCACAGTATGAAAGGGGTCTTGCAAAGTTTACTTTGAAAGCAAGGCCAGAGGGTCACAAATGTTTCTGGCCATTCCTTCATCCTTACATTCTACTTTAAAGTGAAGTCCTGAGAGCTAAAAGTCCTTCCTTGTAGGTTAATCGAAGTTATGTTAGCATACAGGATTTTAAAACAATAAATAATAATAATCCTTGCAATTGGTATAACACCTTTCAAGTCAAGAGGATGTCCCATAGCACTTCACAGGATTCACTGTAGAGTGGAATGATCGTATTTTGGGGGCTGTACGCAATTGGCTGCCACGTTTCACCCACAAGATACAGTCAGTAGACTTTACAATGTATTCTCTGAAGCACTTTGAGAGTCTCAATGATGTGATATGCAATAATAAGTATTACTGTTATTGTGATGGAATAATCCTTTGGAAGGGTAGGCAACTTTTACAAAACAGTACAAGTCATATTTATGCAGCGCCTTTTACGAAAGATAACTGAAAGTATGGTTGAACAGCGTACCTTTCATGGGAACAGATGTAAAACAGGAACTGGACTGGGCCATTCAGTCCATCGAGCTTGTTTCACCAGTTTATTAGATGGTGGCTGATTTTTTTAATCCTAATGCCCTGATCTTTCGTCAGACTGTGTATTAACTATACATCCCATATATCTATTGATCTTTCTCTTTTAAATATCCTGATTGATTTAATGTCCCACATTTTTACAACCGCCTGGGTGAAGAAATGCCTCCTGATCTCAGTCCTAACCATTTTAGTTGTGATTTTAATGCTTGTAAGATATTCCCCTTGTAAAAGATTGCAACAGGTGGTTTCATGGTAATTCGTGAAGAGCACAGTTTGGGTGCGTGTGTGTTGGGTTCAGTTGGGAGAAATAACTACTTTTGAACAACTGTTAAGTGTTTAAAGCAGATCGATCATAACTGATATACAGTGACTGTGAATTATCCCATATTTAAACTCCTGCCTTTCAACTCAACAAAACTAACAAATTACATTTGTGTAGCGCCTTCCATGTCAGGTGCTATTTACGCCATTACCCAATCTGCCCATCCTGGAAAATAACACAAAAAGTTTACAGGGAGAAGAGGGGTAGGAGATTTCACTTAATATTGCTAATAAGTATGACTTATGTAACTGAGTCCTTGCTTTAATGAATGGAAGAGTTAAGTCTCCCAACAATTCACATTTCACTTAAAAACATGTTGTGTTCCCCCCGCCCCCCAGCCCACACACACCCCAAGGTAGTCCTGTTGTGTACTGGTGAGAGCATGCATCTCACAAGCAATAGAACCCAGGCAGGGCAAAATCTTGCTTCGCATGCTTCTGTTTACTTAGCAGTAAATAGGAACGCGGTTATTAGTCAATTGGCGGATTGCTTTCTGGGGGTAATGATCCCTTCCAAATAAATAAAATAATAATAATTTGGTCACCCAATCCACAACTGTTTGCGAGACACTGTTGTGCGTAATTGGCTGTCGTGTTTCGCCCGCAAGATGTACAGTCAATTCACTTTACAGTATATTCTGTGGAGCGCTTTGAGACGTCACGAAAACGTGATAAGCCGCTATATCAAATTCAAGGGTTATTATTAATATTAATATCTTTGCCCCTGCAGACTTGTAGCGGAGGAAATGGCTCAATTTCATTCCGTGCAAACTGAGAACTGCTGTCTCTCCGAGCGGGAGCCAGTGCTTTGGAAGAGCCTCTCGGTATACCTGTCGATACTCAGTGCAGACAAGCCAATGCCAATGAAGGACAAGAGGTAAGACGCAGCTCCAAACTATCTGCTTGGCCGCTGGTGGTATTTTGTTTTTACAAAGCAAAGTGCAACTAGAGTTTAAAAAAGAAGAGGTGGCCTGAGATGTCAATTGAAGGCTTTATGACAAGTTAAATAAAACAGGATTATGGTTTCTTTAAAACAGATTCAGGGGTGAATGCAATTGTGGGGCAATTTCCACATATGTGGTGAAGTGGGTGGGAGGAAAGGCGCAAAGTGTTCAGAGAGTGTCATATGAATAAGGCTTTCTTAGATGGTCGGCTTATCAGTTAAAAGGTTTACTTTGACTTACTTTAGCAGCTGCATTTGAAATATTTCATCTGATTCAAGCCAAGATGAAGCGGTTTCTGTGTCTGGTTTGTTTCACTGCGATAGAGAGAGCGTGAGATGTTATTTACGCCATTGCCCTCTTTATTTTTATACTCAATGGTGCGCTGACTTTGGGAAGCATGCTCCTAGTGCACTGTTTCTGTCCGGTGTTGCACATCCCTTGCACAGAGCGTTTCACCCACCTCTGCTGTGTAGTGGAGCGCTTAAGAAACCTATAAGGTAGAGTGATTCATAGAGACACTTGTTTTAACTACTGGAAATAAATCGGTGGTAATGGGGGAAAAAAAACGAGAGACTATTGGGGGAGGGGTTGGTTAAAAATCTCGCCCCCCCCCCCCCCCCCCCCCACAACCCCACCACCAAAGGGAATGAAGCTAGAACTAAAAGAGTGAAAGGACAAATGAAGAAAGTGAAAATGCATCACGGGAAACAATGACGAGGACTTCCGTTGCACTGGCTCTGTTGTTAACCAGGATTTAGTATGTAGGATGTCACTCTACCTTCACTTCTTAAAATAAACATTTTACTGAGCTGTGATGGGAGGACGGTACAGTGGGTTTTCTGTAAGGATACCCCCCCTTGCCCCTTAAATAGATTTAGAAAAAAAAGGCTCTTCAAATTTCATTCCAAGATCACTCCTCCCATCCTCAGACGCCACATTGCTTCTCTGTAAACCCTGTGTTGGCCTACACTGCAAATATTTTTTTGAGAACACGATTCTGTTTTATATACAAGAGTCAGATTGTTTGGCTGCAATTCTAACTCCTGATATCTCGTGTGTCCATATTCAAATCGAGGGTGTATCTGAGAAGTGGAGTGGTGGAGGGTTGTGGGTAGTGGTGGAGGAACTATATTGAACTCCATTGTTAAACTGCACCATGTCTGACATTTTAACTGGTGTCGCGTGTGGGCTGGAGTTCTCTATTGCACTACCTGTCCAGTAATTCCATCTGGTCTTTGCTATTCCCACTACAAGAGTAATCCATCCATACAACATGCAGTCACAGCACGTTCGAGAGGAAAACTCCAGGCTGCAAGCAATTTAGGTTCAATAAGACAGAACACGCCACTAATATCTGGTTCCTAGCGTACATTCATTTTTACAGCATTTCATCGACAAAGTAAAGCCCATTAGTTTCCTCTGAGCAACAACTGTGTATTTTGGGGGAGTGAAGGCAGTCTGTAGTTGTGTTTTGTCACCAGATGATATTACAATGCTTTCTGCTGATTCTATGCATTTCAAGTTTATTATATTAATATTAATTGGGCATAGCTCCTTATGATGCCGTCAAAATGTCTCAAGCGGTTCACAAGATATAGTGTGAAGTGTGTAGTGATTGTTTTGTAGCCGAACAGGAAACTATTTGACTACAGCATTCTCCCACAAACAGCTGTGACATGAACGACCAATTTTATCTGGAGGATTGTTGGCCAGGACACCAGAAGAAAATCCTTTCTCACTTCAAATATGCAATGGGATCTTTAACATCCACCTGAACAGACAGACAATAACTGGGTTTAATATCTGATCCAAAGGATGCAAATTATTCCAAATTATTCGAAAAGTGTAAGGGGTTTCTCCCAGTTTTCTGGCCAACAAACCCCTAAATAAAATTAGTCATTCACTTCATGGCTTTTTGTGGGACATCGCTGTCCACAAATTGGCTGCTGCATTTCCCTACAAAACACACAGTCTCTAAAACATCACAGTGGAATTCCTTGAAGCGCTTTGAGACTCAGTGACATGATAAAACTGTATTAAATGCAAGAATTATTATTATTATTATCATTACACAGTGCAAAGAACCTTCATTATTTATTTTAATAGAAAACAGTTTTTGGGGGAAGGATTTTTTTTCTGACATGTTAAGTAACCGTTAACTGCACAGAGGTCTACTGTGCTGATATTATTTATGTCATCAATCCCTTGGCCGTGTATCTGTCTTGTAACTCGTCCTTTTACTACAGTGGCATGTCTGTTCCGCAGAGTTTCAGAACTGGTAACACATAATTTACAAAATAAATTTGAAAAAGCTGAGGGACATTTCCGTGCATTGGCACTGTGCAGATAGCACCACTTGCTATATGAATAGCAGATGTTTTAAGCTCAACGGATGACTGGGTCAGCTAGCCTGCATTAGGTTGCTATACGCTCAATAGCTGACAGGTTTGGATTTTACATCAGTTCAGGCCCCAGCACTCAATACAAGCGGATTGAACAATAAGTTACTGTACATTTTGTGATCCAACTGGGTTGTGGCCATTATGCCATACAATGTATTAAGCTGTCAACGGGGAAACCATCAAACATCTCTTGAATCACTTTATGTGAGGATAAACCTGTCTTTAGCTGTTAGTAAAAATGGATGGAGTGCCACAGAAGTCCTTTCAGTTAGATTCGAGCCTGAGTTCAGGCCATTTAATAATCTTGTGGATCGGCCGGATTGTGAGCTGTGGGATTATTGCCGGGTCCACATCACCTCTCGGCACTTGAACAATAATGTCAACTGCGAAGCGTTTGTTGGAGCAAAACTACTGCAATAATTCTCTTTCTTGGCAGAGATTTATTGCTAAGGTTGGCTAGTAACTGCATGGTTGGAGAAGCCTGGGGTTATTAATTGCCCTGCATAGGTAAAAGTACAAAGTGCTGTCTTCGGCTGAGAGTACAATGGTTTATGGTGGTGGTGCTCTTAATGTGAAAACCCACCTCTCTCACATGTACCCTACAGAGGCATTACTGCCCTGTCTGTCTGTCTGTGAGACGATTGTCCTAACTTGCCGGCAATGAAGTCTCATTGAACCTGGATACAATTGTGTGTGTGTGTTGTGTGTGCACGAGAGAGAGAGAGAGAGATGGAGTGTGGGGGTGGGGGGGTAGAAAGACAGAGAAAGAGAGACTGAGAAAGGTAGAGAGAGCAGCAAAAAAAATTTAAATGCAAAAGAAAATCTGCAATAATGCTTGCATTTGACGTAGCACCTATGACGCCAAACCCTTCAAAGTGCTTCACAAAGCTTGTGCAGAGTGTAATGACTCTGTATTTGCAGGCGAACGCAGCAGGTAATGTGCACCACCCAGCCGTGTCTCACAATCAGCCATGAAGTGAATGACCAATTTTATCCGGGGGATTGTTGGCAAAGACATTTCTTTTTGAATCCTGCCTGGGGATCTTTAACCTTCACCTGAACAGGTAGACACCAAGTCAGTTGGTGATGAGTCTTTATTTATTGTATTCCTGACTGCTGCATTGGCTTACATGTTAAACATTTCTGGCTGGCACAGAATAAGGATCAATCCTTGAGACTTTCACTTAGGCAATTGCTTAGTCAGCCGAGCCATTGGAGGAAGTTTCATTGTGATTCTAATGCAGAGATTATGGTTTTCCATGCTATCAGTACACCGGTGATGTCAATGTACAGCAGTATGAACAGGCCGGGTGGCTTCGAAGTGACTAACCTGCTTGTGTGTAAAACAGACCGAGTTCTAGTTGTTTAAGACTGCAGTTCTCTTGAAACTGCAGCAGGTGGCACTGGCTTTGTGAAACTTGTGCAAAAAGAAAAGTAGTGTGTAATGCACAACACAAATACCCTGTATCCACACTTGTTCCTAAACTGTCTTGGATGTGCTGGTTACGCATCGCCACAAGGTTTTCCGCTTCCTGTCCCAATGCAATTCAAAGGCAGACCCCAGCCCTTCACGAGGCCGTGCTTACATTGGACTCTGGTGATTTTGTTCACCACTGCGATATAGCAGATAATTGGAAAATAAATAGCATTGCTCTGTGCGACTCTGAACACATCTGTACTTGAATGCTTTGGTCCTGCAATGTGAGACAGAGCACAAGCCCTGTGTGGGTTTCACTATTATCAGTGGGTTAATCTCAGGAACTCTGCATCACAAGGCAGAGTAGAGCTCACTCATTGCGTGCATGTGGTGAGGTGCTTAGTTATTGGGATGTACCGAGGCTCCAGTACAAAATCTTCCCTAACAAACCCTTGACGTTTATCGCTGAAATAAAAACAAAAATTGCATCTGAAAACATCCTGTCGGTGTTCTAGGGTGAGAGGGGTAGATTTCTGGTAAGTCGGGGTTTTAAAGGCTCCACGGAGAAACAGCAGAGAACTGTCATTTTAAAAAAAAATTCCCGTAGACTTAGTGATAGAGAAAGCTTGATAGACCGAATGACCTATTGGTGTTGCTAACCATTCCAAACAGACACCAGATGATGTACAATATTTAGTGGAGCATAAAATAGCTGGTTATGTCAGTAATCTGATACTCCAGATTATTTGGTTGGTGTCCTCTAAGTACAATTTGTAGCACTCTCACCTCAGGCTGACAAGGTTACAGGTTTGAATCCCACTTTGAGCTCGCAGTAAAGGATTGCACTCCAATGCAGTGCGATTATGGTTGCAGAACATTACAGCACTGAAACAGGCCTTTTGGCTTGACTAGTCCATGACGGTGTTTAAGCTCCACACGAGACTCCACTCCCCCAAAGAGATGCGGGGGTGGGGAGTGCTGCATTGTCAATGTTACCATCTGATTTTTGTGGGATATTACTCAGCACAAATTGGCTGGCACTTTGCCAGCAAAATACACAGTCACTATAGCAGTTTAAAATGTTCAGCTCTGTGATGAAAGGCAGAGTTGATCC